TTCCCACTTTGCTCTAGGAAAGGCCATCTGGGTTAGGATGCAATGGCACTCCTGCACCATAAAAGCAATAGAATTTTAAAAAGGAAGTATCTGTTTTATGTCAGTGCCACCTGTCTGGCGTGGGATCCATTTCATCCTGATTCCTGAAGTCCTACAGCTGTTCAGTTTTGAGTTTTACGCAAAGTCACCAAGTGACGACTGGTTTAGAACGCTCTGCTAGTCTGGAAACGTGTCTGGTGACGGCTGTCTGCTCTCATAGCTGCGGCATCTTTCTGTGGCAAGTGCCAGCTGCAAGAAAAAGTCCTCTCTCTGCTCTCATGTAGGGTTGTTTGCCCGCCCTTTCTGGAACCTGCACAGTCCATTTACACAAACCCCATGGGATTGTCTCCATCCGCTGTGGGCTGGCGTGTAACTGGGCAGGGAAGTACTAGAGGTGGTGTGGTGCTACTAGCACATGGCAGTGTCAATGGAAGTGATACTACCAATACTTTACCCAGCATTACCTCTGCCATTAGCCTTCGTCTTCTGTTCTCTTTAGAGGAGGTGTAGGGGACAGCCTGGCATTGCATCACCAGCCAGGTTCGCTCCTCATGCTGCAGTAAGGAGTGGGGAAGCTCATGAAAGGGCTGTACAGTAGTGTGCATCTTTAGAGGATGGGAAGGCGGTGGTGCCTGACTTAAGCTCTATCAAATCCATGTTTCCCTGATTGACTCTACCCTCCTGTGAGCGGGAGGATGCTGTGGGCCTGGCCTGTGAATTTCTGGCAATGGAATTCAGCATTTTCTGACAGCCTGGAAACTAGTCTGCCTCAGATTTTTTCCTTCAGATGAGCTGATCTCCATGTGATCTTAACATGTAAACTAGGTGGATTAAAAATAACCCCTCGTTTGGAGTAATACAGTGACACTGTCTGCAGCAAAGGTGTCCAGGCCCAAAGAGGGGCTGGCAGGCTGCCTGCCGTTTGTTTTCCATCTTAGACTAGGCTGCATTTCTGAACACATCTTCTGTTTCTGCTTTGTGGCTCTTAAAGCTCCTTGTTCCTATTAGCTTTTCCATTTGTTCTTAACCTACAGGGACAAAGTTTCTATTATTAGCTGCTGTCATAGGAAAGGATTCTTGGACATCCTCCACAGGCTGTTTTTTCACACAATACTTTGAGTGTGTTAGAAGAAACCTTTTTACTAGGACTGTGTAAAGCTTCAGTCACTGATTCGATTCGGTGGCGAAATCTCTGAATCTGAATCGAATCAGGAGACCCTTTAATCTCTCCAAATCGAATTGGAACCTGCCACTGGAAGTCTACCATAGCTGAAAATCCTGCTATGCAGTTTGCAGTCGGCTGTCGCATTCAGTCAAGAGATGCAATAAACACTTAAGAAATCGGATGATTCAGTAAAGCTTTTATCTGTCTGAACTCTGCTTTGCAAGACACAACTACATCATTTTAAAAAGAGAACGTAACAGAAATATTGACAGCCTTTAAAATGAATGGTGCCCCAAGGTCGCTAATATGATGGAACAGTCCATTTTAAAGCGATCATCGGGTCCCATGGGCTATGAAAAAGTATGGCATGGTGGAAACTCAGCATCTGTAAGCAGATCTCCCCCGCCCCCCTCACCAGGAAAAGAGCTATGACTCTGGACTGATCCCGTCTTACTGAAATCCTATATATGCCAGGGCATGCATGCAAGTGTATCTTATTTATCCAGCCAAGTGGTCTCTTGCCTAGAGCAGTGTCAGCATCATTTGTTAGGGTCCTTGTGATGACAATCTGATGGATTGCTTTGCTGCTCCATCCTGCAGAGCCTGGCGCAGTGGTATTTACAGTACTATTTTAACAATTATAATATATATTACATATATATATCAGCTCCATGTTGCCACTGCCCTGCAAAATGATTCTCCAACAGCTCTTTGCCTCTTTTTGACAGTCCAGCTTCTGTTTCCATGGGGAGTGCAACCTCCAGCTGACATAGCAGAAAGAGTCTATGTAAAAAGAATATTGCTTGTGAATTTTCTCCTTGTTCACCTACCCAGTGCACAGAATGAAGCAGGGACCCCAGAGGACAAATATTATGTGGTCATGTGGCTAAAGACTATCATAATGCTATTGTCTAAAGCTGCTCAGACACCCATCAATCTGGCAGGGTTACTTGACATTGCAACCAGGTTAGGTTCTGGATGACTGGAAAAGGGTAAATCTAATCTAGTGCCCATCTTTAAAAGGGGAAGAAGGGGGATCTGGGGGACTTGCAGACCAGTCACTCTAATCTCAGTACCAGGAAAGGTTGTAGAGTAGGTCATCTAAGGACCTGGAGGAAAACACGGTGACCAGGACTCGCCAGCATGGATTCATCAAGAGCAAGTGATGCCTGACCAGCTTGATTTCCTGCTGTGACAGTGACCTCCGTGGATGGGGAGGAGAGCAGTAGATGTGACTGACTTTGACTTCAGCAAGGCATTTGACACTGTCTCCCATGACATTTTCATTACTACACTAAGGAAGTACAGACCAGATAAAAGAACTAGAAAGTAGATGCATAATTGGTTAGATCTTCATGTTTGCCGAGTAGTCATCAGTGGCTTGGTGTCTAGTTTGGAACTGAGATGGGAGTGTTCCCCACGGCACTGTCGTAGGTCCAGTGCTGTTTAATAGCCTCATTAATGATTTGGGGGATGGGACTGAGTGCACACTTGTCAACTTTGCAGGTGACACCCTCGATGGCAGCAGCAGAAGGCTGTTGTCCCAGAAAAAGTGGGGGATACTAGAGTATAGCAGGGGTTTCTGCCCTGCGGGAAGCCTCCCAGAAGGGGAGTGGGGTCTGTCTTATGGTGGGGGGGAACCTAGCAGCAGGAGCAGCAGCATGGTCTGCTGCTGCTTGTTTGGTGACTTCTAACACACTGTATATTGCTTCTGAAGGCATGCAAGGATGAGGAGAATGGTGATTTCTAAAGGACACTAATTCTGCCAAATGTCCTCCATTTATGGGGCCATGAGCACACTCCCCCATACCCTAAGGGCCCTCTACTGCAAAATCTCAAAGACCTGCCACCATAGGCAGCGGAAGGCCGGAGCTAACAGGGCTGCCCCCCTCCTCCCAAATTGGGCCGGCTCCAGCACCACCAGTGCTGCAGCGCCTCTCCCAGAGCTCCCACTGCACTCCACCACCACATGCACAGCACCAGTGCGCGCCAGACAGCCCTGCAGGAGGGAGAGGCAGTCAGGTGGGCGCACTCCACGCCGCCCAGCGCCCCCAGTTATATTTTCTAGTGCTGTTGGTCTGTCATGAATTCAGGATCTTGTGACTGTTTGCAAAGCTCTTTTTTAACAGGAGGTTAGGTACCCTTAACTGTCAGGAGAGCTAACAACTCTCCTGGTAAGAAAGCATCGCTGAACCACACAGTGCTGGATGACCACTCTCCCTGATTGCACTCCAGTATAGCACTGCTGATAAGCAGCTTTCTTTGTCATGAGTTCCCATTACCTAGATATGTACAGTACAAAGCAAATTTGGGTCACATGCACGTGTGCATGCACTTTTATGCTGACTCGCTCTCTAACTCAAGTCGTACTAGAGGCACAGTAACAGTAAAGCACTGCTCTGAGGCCTGCCCTGGTGGTGGGTGCTCTTCTCTCTGCTTTTTTATGTTTATTTGAAAGAGTTGAAGGTGCAGAAAGAAACAGCAGGGCACGCACAGAAGGGCCCATTACAACCTGTAGCAAGCCAAAGCAGGGCAGGGTGGCACGTTAGAGACTAAATGATTTGATTCAGAGGCATAAGCTGTTGTGGGTAGCAGCTGATTTCATCACTTGCTGTGACTGGACTGCTGAAGTAGGCTGCTGCCTGTGAAAGCTTATGCCTCTCTGAACCAGGGAGTTGCCAGGGTGCCACCCTGCCCTGCCTTCTGCCTGACCCCAGACACCCACAGATAACCACCTCTCGAATCTTTGTCCAGTACCTGGCAAATATTCTGTGAAGAGCACAGAGTTGTGATGCAAGGGGGCTGGAGAAGAGAGGGAAAGCCAGCAGGAGGGCTCCTCTCCTAGCTAAGGGGGAAGAACTGGGAGATGACAGCTGGTGGTACAGTGACCCAGTAGCAAGAGAAGAGGTAGGGCAGGCCTAGCTAGTCCTGACCTCCAGCCTGGTGGCTTGCATGCTTGTCTGGGAGGCTGTCAGGTGCTCGCTTGGCTAATGTCTGTTATGCACACACCTCCCCAGCCAAAGCGTACTGGAGAAATCGGATCAGGCTAGAGGCAGGGAGGCTTTTACTTCTTGTACCCAGGAGCCATCACCTTAAAAAAAAACCCTCCACCCACAGCTGTACAGTTGCCAGGGATGATAAAGCAGAGGCTTCACCCAGTGGCTTGCAGCCCTGCCCAAGGACCTCACCGAGCTAGCCAGGCCTTTCACTTGTTATGTTCACCTACACCCTTAGCAACCACTTGCTCTTCTTCCTGACTAAGTTCTGTCACTGCTAGTGAAAGGCAGATGATTGTGCAGCTTCTGGGCTCTCGCTAAACACACGGTTGGTTTTGTACGGCTGGCAATGCCCTTCAGTGCTCCGTTCCCTCCCACTCTACCTGGACTTATCTTGTGTGTCCCAAGAGGTGAATCAAAATCCAGGCGGGCAGGGGGTTGGACACCCTTGCATTTTCTCAGCACCACCTTAATCTCCTAAAAGGATTAGTGCGTAAAGCCTGTCTGGAGCTAATCCAATAAATGTGTTAACTACAAACAACCAAGTACCCCGTGACCCCTCACCCCCCGTTCTAGGCTGCTGCCTAGAATGCACTCAGCCTTTCTATGAATTTTCCCATCCGTGCTCCATCAGCGGACATGCTTGCCAGCAGATCAGCTTTCTGAACCAAAAATGTGTTTGTGGGCCTATGTCACTTCTCTGGCATCTGCAGAGTTCCTCCAGATTGACCACCCCCAGGTAGAATTAGCCTGTTTGCAAGGTAATCGGGTGCTCTAATGCCAGTTCTGTTTAATAACAGGTTACCTGGATGACAGGATGGCAGCGTCAAACTTGGAGAACCAGTTACACAGTGCCCAGAAGAATCTTTTGTTCCTGCAGCGGGAACATGCCAACACGCTCAAAGGCTTGCATGCTGAGATCCGGCGCCTGCAGCAGCACTGCACAGGTAACCAAGGATCATTATAGTGCCTCACTCCAGCTCATCCCAGGCATCTCAGAATGCTCCGTGTGGGAGTCAGCCTCCTCCTCCCCATTTTACAGAAGTTAAAACCAAGGCACAGGGCCTTTTCCACAGTTAGCTTGCAGGTGGGGGCAGATCTAGGACTAGTTCAGGTCTCTTCAGCTCCCGTGCTCCATCCCGTAGGCCAGGCTGTCTCCCTGCTCAGTGGCTCAGCTTTGTGTCTTCACTCCCAAGCCGCCTTGTTCCTGAAGCCACTTGAAGTACCATGTCATAGTTATAATCCAGTGCCAGGTGACAGTGCAAAGTGAGCAGCTGCTCAGTAACACCAGAATGACCAGAACTGACACCTCTAACCAGATACAGCATTTGGGGAGATGCTTTTACTTCTTGGTACTGAGCCCCCTATAAAGCACTGTCTCTTGTACTCTAAAGCCTTACAGTGCATTACGTGTTTTAGCACACACATTGGCACTAGCACATTCAAAGTACAGTTATTTAAAACAAGTGCAGTCTGGATTTTTGTGAGCTGATGTCTCATACTTCTTCATGCTCATTGACATCTTGGTAATCTGCGGGGGATCCTTAGACATTGCTTCAAATCTACAAGCTTCTATTCTGGTATTTCAGATAAGAATAGAACGTGGTGCTATAGGAGGGCTTGTAACGTACTTGTAGTACAACATACCTATGCTTTTGGGTCTAGCAAAAGTAGAAGTTGCTCTTTGGTTTTATGCCAATCAGGACTAGTCCTTTTCTTGTGTACTGGCACAGCTCCCTCTTTTGAATTTCTGATTCATTCAATGTGAATTGTTATGCTAGAAAAACTAACCAGAGAGGCTCTGTTAGGTCTCAGTAACTTTATTGCCAGGATGCAGGATTTTTCTCTGCGATATAGTCTATGAGACTTTGTCTGAATAGGCCTTCATTCTTTTGAAGAGGATAGTCCACACTACCACGGTATGAAGCAATGAACAAACTGCAGCCAGTCAAAAGGGAGCAAGCATTTACCAGAGAGGAGCTGATCTATGGTAACTGCCCATGTTAGCCTACATTCAGTGAAGGGTTGCCCTGTCATTAGCACTGTTCTGTTGAGGGCTAAGTTGTCTGAGTTCAGCCCTCGTGTACTGAGAGGTAAGGAGACATGACACGTGGGCAAGTAATGCAGAGCAGTTGATGTACAGTAAGTCAGACATGTTTGTGGTCTTTTTATTTTTCAGATTTAACCTATGAGCTGACTGTAAAGAGTTCAGACCTGACGGGTAAGATATACAGTGCATGCAGTTCCTTTATTGTCTTTGAGTAACTTCTAACTTTTGAAATGTGTTTGTACTCTCCTTCCAACGCAAGTGTATAACAATATTTCTGTATCATGTCTTCCATCCAGAGATCTCAGAGTTCTTGCCAGTCTCATTATATGGGTATGTGTAAAATAGCCCTGCCCTCAGTTTCTTTTTCAAGGTCACATAAGAAGTCTATAGAAGAGCCAGGAATAGACTCTACAATTCTTGATTCCCGCTCCTTTCCTTAAACAACCAAACCATCCTTTCTCTGTATTCTGCACAAGAACACAGAGATTATAAATAGTCTCCATCTTCCCATAAAACACTCTTCTGAAACTTGACTAATACTCTAATTGCATTACACAGCTGAAGAAAACCCTCCAGCCTTTTTGGAAGTGGTGTGCTTCAGCTGCTGGTGTATAAGAGCATAATATTCCCTGGGGATGATGTACAGAGTACAAAAGCTTAGACCCCCCCATCAGCACCTTACTGTTCCCATTTTACAGATGGATACAGTAGAATGTTAAATAATAAGAGCTACATTTATAAAGTGTCACTAAGTTTCTCAAAACCCTTTCTCAGCTGCTTACTTTCATCATTGCCTAAGTTTCTGCTGGTCAGCACACACAAAACTGCTTAAGTCCTCATGTTAAAGTGCTCTGAACCCCAGGGAAGATTTTCATATTAGGTGTGCCCCCCGCTTCCTATTTGTGTCACTTGAAGAGACCTGAGACTGGGTGTGAGTCTTGGTTATAACCAGCAAACCCATTGGGTAAATTACGGTCAGGTGGGACAATTGGGCTGGAATTCTGCACCAATAAAATTTACTGTACAAAGCTGAAAAGTTTCCTTGAAGCATCTCCTGCATTTGTATTTCCACTTGTTATCATCCCCTTCCTATCCTGAAATGATGAATTGAGTTTGAAACAGGACGGGTCTTAAAAGTATTATCCTCTAGAGTCTAAACGATGAAGTGACCAGGTTATTTCCAGAAGTTAGGCTTCCTTACAGTGCTGAGAGTAAACTGTAAAGAAAGGAACTGCATTTCTCAGTTTTACTAACTGACTATAATCATCTTGAAAAAGTTTACTTTTCTTCTAGGAAATGGTAATTCAAGAAGTGATGAACTCAGAAGGAAATGTGAAGAACTTGAAGCTCAGCTGAAAGTCAAAGAGACTGAAAATAATGAATTTTTAAAGGAACTGGAACAAAAAAATGCAATGATAATGGTGCTGGAAAACACCATCAAAGAAAGAGAAAAAAAGTATTTAGAAGAGTTAAAAATGAAAAGCCATAAGCTAAATATGTTGTCAAGTGAACTAGAGCAGCGAGCAAGCACTATTGCATATCTGACTTCACAGCTCCATGCAACCAAGAAAAAGCTCATGAGTTCAAGTGGGACTTCTGATGCCACCCCATCTGGAAGTCCAGTGTTGTCCAGCTACAAGCCAGCCCCTCCTAAAGACAAGCTACCTGAAACTCCACGACGCAGAATGAAGAAGAGTCTGTCAACACCACTCAACCCAGAATTTGAAGAGGCCTACAGATTAGGATCGGATGGCCGAAAGCTACTGTTACGAGAGCCTGTCGATGCTATGCCTGATCCTACTCCATTTTTACTGGCCAGGGAGACTGCAGAGATACACCTAATCAAAGAAAGGCCTTTAGTTATTCCACCCATTGCTTCAGAACGTACATCAGGTGAGCCACACAGTCCAGCCCGGGAGAAGCAGCACAAGGCTCACATTGGGGTGGCGCACAGAATTCACCATGTTGCACCATCCCAGCCTCAGCCAGAGGTTGAGACGTTGGCAGTGGATCAGGTCAATGAAAGTAAAGTGGTCAGAAAGCACTCAGGGACGGACAGAACTGTTTAAGCAAAGTAATGTGATGTGATGCTCTATTCTGTTGCTATTTCTGCACTGTGATCAAATAGGATAAATCTCATCTGCAGTAAAGTTTCTTTTAATACCCCATGCATGCCAAATTTTTTCCAGATCTGTCATTAGATTATCATACTTAATGAAACCCAAATATGACTGTGTTCATACTGCAAAGTATATAAATGCTGTGGCCAAATCAGGTGTACCTGACTGCTTGCTTCTAAGTACTACTCCATTATTATAACTGCACATGTGGACAAAAGCACAGGCTACAGTCTGCATTATTAATCAATATTAACAAGAAACAGATAAACTTAACTAATTATAAACCTGCAGCAATATGTATTGGCTGATAACTTTTAAAATGTCAATGTTTCTTTGATGTCTCCGTAGTGTGTATGTAGCACTTCATACACAGTCACTAACTTTTGTGACAGAGCCACTGTGACGGCAGCACTGAAAAAAACGCAGATGTATATACATGATTAGACGACCTAAGAAAGAACTCTTCTTCGCATGGTCTTGATCACATCCTAAATTTACTTTTTTTTGTGACGTTCTTCTCCAAAACTGCAAGGGTCCCAACAAGCTTTTATTTGATTAACTCTGCATTATTTTGGTTTACATCTATATTTAAACTATCTTTAACAACTTCAAGTTATTATTCTGGGAGACTGGAGAAGAAAACATGAATCAGAATTATTAGCTAACAGTCCTCGTGGAGCGAGTACAAACTCTGTCCTAATGGAAAGCCAGCTTCTGCTTTGGCATTTAGAAATGATGCCTACTATTTAAATATTACTACACTACTGAATCCTTTGCACTTTCCACGCCTTCCTTACAAGGATCTCAAAGCTGCTTACCAAGGTGTAAAATACGTTCAATGTCAAACCCTTTCAGAACTCGAATGATTTCAGTTATGTTTTCTAAATTCCCCTAGGCTCACTGCATTCTGAGACAGTTAAGGAAGTTTTCAAAGCCCAAACGGTAGCTTGGGAGTTATCTGGCAATGTTACAGTGTAGGAGCCGCTGGTATTCAGACTGAAAAGCACCTGTTATCAAACATACGCTTCAGGTAGTTATAAGTGTGTCGGTTATGGAGAGCTACCAAGGGATATGTGGCTTCTACTGAGGGAGGGAGAAAATGGGAAATAACTGAACTTCAAGAGACGAAAATTCAAGTGGTTTTTTGCATCAGCTCCTCAATATTTAAAAAATAATGTTTTAGCTGGGATGCTGGGCAGTAAACTTGGGAGGGCTTAACCCAGACTACCCTCCCACCCCCATGTCAGATGCCAGGCTTCCTTGGCTAGGCTTTCGTAACCCTCAGCCCTAGTTCTCCAAAAATTTTATGGAGGTGGGGAAATCTCATGTGTTGTGCCTTACCTTTTCTCATTCTGTTGGTATGTGGGAGGGCAAGGGGCAGGGGAATGTGGCTTGTCTTTGGCTTGGCGTAAGGGACTGTCCTCCAGCAGTGTGCTTGCCCCCTACAGAAAAAGGAATCAGCTTGCTCATATCTGTATTTGCGCTTTGATTACTGGGGAAGAGCATAAAGGGACCATGATCTGTTAGGTATGCTCTCACCCCCCTCTTTGTGGTATTGCTCTGTCTACTCAATTGCAGTACAACCAGTGGAAAATAATGACTCCCAGCTCTTGCACATAAATAAGTGTGCCTTCAGCAATGCAATACTTCACACTGATAAAGATCCCTATCTGCCTGTTGTTCCCCGTGGCACTGCAGCCTTGCCTTTACTCCTCTTTCCACAATTAACACCCTGTGTGATGCTGGTCTCCTCTGTCTTGGATAAGTATTAGTTTCCTGAGCACGAAAAAGGCCATTTTTGCTAGTTTTGACACTGCTAAAATGTACACTCGAGCATACCCACAGGGTGCAGGGGCTGTATCAGCATTCTCGCAAGTTAGTGAGACACTGATCTTGACTAGCCCCCAAAGGCTTGCTTCTTCAAAGACAGTCCACCATCCCTTTGGCGTTAACCTGCTCAGCATTTTCTGTCAATCACATGCACTGTGTTTTGGTAGTATACACTGTTGTTTCATGTTAGGATTTCTTTATAAAAGAAGAAGGCCCACGTCCTTGGAAAATGGTTAAAAGAAGGTGCGTGGTTTTAATGTTTTACCATTTTAAAGTGTATTGCATTAACCAGCATTGGTTTGGACTGTCGCCATATTTTTGTGGCAACCTGCTGTATGACTGAACAACGCAATTGTTTGTTCTCTGATGGAAGAAGTCTCTTAAAAAGACACTAGAAGTGATGCACTGGATAATTAAAAACAAGTTTCTTACAATCATGAATGTTCCTTACAGTATGTGTGTGTGTGCTTCATTTGAGTGCGTTACCACTTCACCTGCTGCATCAACCCAACTCCTTTAGAGCAATTATTTGCAACCAGGGTGCGATGGCACCCTGGGGTGAGATCCTTCCAAGGGTGTCACAGGGTGCCACTCATGGTAGGCACTGTTAGTTGTGCAAACGTAATTCCCAAGGTCAACCCAGAGTAGAGAATCCAGTGTTGAAGAAAAACATTCTGCCCTGCTGTGGTCTTTCTGACTTTTTTGCAACAAAAAACCTCTCCATTATTTTTATATGGTCAAAAACAAGCGAAACTTAAGAGCTGGCCTTTTCGGTGGGGACCTCAAGTCTAACGAGGGGGTGCCTTGACCATCAAAACATTGAGAATTAGTGGTTTAGACTGAAGAGGTCCTAAAAGGAAACACAAATGGCTAATGTCCCATTTATTTTTTCAAACACAGATAACAGAGTTGAAGTAGCAAAGTTAGATGCACCTTGTACTGCTAAAGCCTACCAGCTTAGTAAAAACTGCTGCAAATATTTAATTTAAAAAATCTCTCTGTCAGCCGTCCTCTTATTTAAAGCAACTCTTTTGAACTCCCCTGACACACTGAGCTACAGAAAACTGACCTGATGCTTCTTGGTGCAAAGTGATTTCATGTGCCAGCAATGGATTCTGTGCATGAAAAAATCCACCAGTTGGTGTTTTCTGGTGTCAGTCAGCATTCAAAGTGAGACAAATCCCTTGCAGCACCCAGTGGGAAATGTGCTTTGTGGTGAAAAGGTCTGCTTCAAAAACTAAGCCAACACCCATGGCATTTCTTCTCATGGAAGTTGTGTACACAGGGGTCCGGAATGTGTTCTAAAAGAAAGGGAAAGTAAATGAGCATGGCAGGTATTGTTTGAAGTACAAGGGAGGACATGGCCCCGCACAACCTTTGCTCATGGAAGTAGCTCTGCTCTATACAATAAAATTAAGCCCGGGGATAAGCAGCCTAAACAGGGCTTAGTGTCTGCAGAAGTGGACCCTTATATTTAGTGCAGCCAGTGGCTTTAGAAACTGGGATTTACCGTGCTAAAGCCCAAAGATGCAAGAGAAAAAAAGCTGAAATACAATTTATCTGTAATATCCAAGGACTTTGTTGCGGGGGGGAAGGGGGGGTACTGCAAGCCCAGCATCTTTTGAGCAGTTCCTTATTTTTATTTCATATAATAATTTTACTGGCTGAGGATATATGGGTTAGTTACTGATTAAAAAAGGTGCTTAAGCTGATCGATACTAGTAGAGACAACTACTTGAGGGAGGAATAATGATGTAGCACACATGTCATACTAGAAATCATCCTTAAAACAGTGATATTAGTATACTACTAAAATGCCTGTGTGCACTGTGTCTGCAGACAGAAAGGGGCCTGGAAAGCAATCTCATAGTAACAAAAAACTTGTAACACCTGCGATCAGCAGAATGGTTGTACCTGTAGCTTGAGTCTATGAGCTTCAATAGGAATGATCTTTAGAATAGGCAAATCTACCACCAAGACTTTGGGCTTGCTCTTGATGAGACAGCTGTTCTCAATGTCCCAGTCTGCTCCTTCCAGATACAGACCAGAAACAAAACATCCTGCAGAGAGACAGAAAAGGTAACAGCTTCTCTAAAGCATCTATGGGAAAAAAAACACCTGTGTTTAAGGCAAGTATCTTCTTTGTCAGCCAGACCTTGGTAATACGAGGCTGCAGTACAACTCAGGATCCCCAGTTCTGACCTTGAACATGGTAACTACTCCCTCCCCCCTGCTTGGCTTGTGTGGGACTCAAAGTATAAGAGTAATTGCTCCTTCTGCCGAACCATTACTGCACACCAAAAAACCCACCAAGTTGCTCCTGTGAAGGCAGCATTTAAAATACCCTGATGCTTTTTACTATTAATGGGCCTCTACAGGCTGTTCATTGTAGGTCGCCTTTCTCAACCTGTGCCTGAACCAAGTGCTACCTTGTCCAGGGCGCTCGGTGACCTCCTCAGCAGTGCTGTACTTAGTCACGTGTGTGTACAAAGTGGAGCGATCCAGTGGCCAGCTGTTCTTCCTGCATGTGGCTTGTACAAGGGCTGTGAGATAAGACTCTGGAATGTGCAGTCCGGCAAGCCACATCACATTTGGTTCACTCTCAGTGACCTGAAAAATCAGACAAAACAGCACTTTAAAGCTACAGCTGCTGAGCAGCCATGGCCACGAGCCCACGCAGTCACCTGCTAGCCCCAGCAATGCAACACAGGAGCTGCCGGTGCTCAGTGCCAGTCACCCCATCCTGTGCAAGGATTCAGTGCTGCTAGGGGTAGTGATACCTGCTGTCACCTGTACCAGCCTGGGTCAGTTGCAATCAGCTTTCTATTAAAGCATTTTTGTATCATGGTCTAAACCGGATTTCACCTCTGCAGGCCTAAATGTGTTTACACACAGTTCTCATATAGCTACTGAGCACGCGTAGATGACTGCACTATGTCTGAACAGATGCCTGGGCACTACACACTCACTCAGACGTGTATGACAACTAAGTCCCAAAGCTGTAGCTGCAGAAGAACTCATGATTACCAACCGCTTGTTGCTCGGACCCTCTGGCCTTTTTGCTCAGTGGTTAGGGCACTTGCTCAGCATCTAGGCAGTCCTCACCCATCAGAAACTTGACCCAACGTCACCTACTTCCTAGGAAAGTGCACTAACTGCTGGGCCACCCACACAGAAGTGTGCTAAGGAACTCTCCAACCCTCCTCTTGAAGCAGACCCACTAGGCAGTCAGGAGGGGAAGAGATGTGAGACCAAGAAGCAGAATGGAGGGTGGCTCAGTGACCTGAATGCTGCTCTAGTGAGGAGTGGGCCCTGTATTCAAGTCTGACCAGCATAAAAACCATCCCACCTCTACTTACCATTTTTTTTTTAAATTCCAGAGCCCTCTCTCACCCCCACCCCATTGAAAGGCACACGTTCAGACTGCTTCTTAGAATACAGAGTGAGGGGGAGTGAAGTCTTGGACCAGCCTTCCAAGCAAAGGAGGTGGGGGAGCAAGGACCCACTCTCTCACTAACACCAAACTAGTTTAGTTAAGGTAATGGAAGGGAGAGTGCAGTAGGACAGGGAGTTCTGGCTTAGCAGTTAGCAATGGTGTCAGGAAGGAATTTCTTGCCCAGGCCTAATGGGCATAGGAAGTTTTTACCTTCCTCTGTAGCAAGAGGCCTGGTCCTTGTCTTAGACTCTGCTGAGCATAGAGAAATTACTTCCTTGTTGTTACAGTGGCAGCACATTGGCAATGCCCTGCTCTCACCTGCTTTTTACTTGTGGCATGTTCTTGATGGTTTAAAGACTCCTTTATGGTTAATGAGTGCCTGTGAACCAAATGATTCCAGTCCTATGTTCCAGTGGATGAGGCGGGGCTAAAATTCAGGTCTTACACTCCCTGGGGAAAGGCAGTAACCACTAGGTAAGATGGCCACCCTCCTCCATGTTACTTCTAGAAGCAGTGAACGCAGGAGGATCTTATTCCACCACAAGTAGGAATAAAAAACCCGGCTGTGTGTTAAGTGCCAAAAATTGCTATTCTGCTGCTACACAAATGCCATAACTGTGTGCGGATCAATTAGGATTTAGACCTTAACATCAGGATACACAGTTCACCACTACTTTGGGCAGCAAATGCAAAACAGATAAAGATTCCTTATCCTGCCTCACTTACCCAAGACATGTACTGATTGTATCTGTTCCTGAAGTAAACCATCCAATTTCCAAGTGTTTTGAGTGTGTCCGGGGCCAGCTTTCTCCAGATGTTAGGGATCTGTCCATTAAAGAGAGCCCGAGCCACCTCATCTAGCTCGCTGCTCATTCCAACTTCCCCAGCCAAGGCCTGATGAGAGAATTTACAAAGACATAACTTAGACATTTCAGAGCTCAGCAGCTTTCAGCAGAGAGGAATTAGCTTTGAATAATAATACTCTTTACCCTTTGTAGCTCCGCCAGTGATTTGGCCATACGGACAATCAGTTTGTTGAAACGTTCCAATTCCTGTAACAGCACCACTGTTGTAGGTGAAATGTCAGTGCCCAAAGACTTTCTTATCTGATCAAGATCAAATATTTGTGGTATTTTGTTTTCTATGTCCTTGGCAACCTGTCCAATATATTCATCTCGACTGATTCCAGTACCAGATTCACCTGAAATAGACACAGCACAGAGAGGTTAAAGCTAAACAGCCTTTACATTTTTTATGCTCACTCTCAAATCAAACCCCTCCTCCTGCGTGGTAGAAGGAGTTGAGGCATCTAAGCAGGGGCTGTGGATTCTACTTCAAGAGCTGGACACCTAGACATTAGGTGGCGTGGTGCTGAGCCGTACAGCACTCAAGTCCCTTTGTGGAGCTGGCCCTCAGGGCTTGCTTTCTCGTTGCAAGAGTTGTGACAGAGAACTGTACCTGTTTGAGGCTGGAGCTCCAGGAGATGAGACCACATGTCTCGAGCTGCCTGTGTATAATATCCAATTTCAGCATTAGGATGAAGTCCAAACACCTCTGGCGTGTTAGCAAGTGGAAGAGATTCTACCTCCGCTAGAACACAAAAATCCATGAGGCTCATCAGAATGTAACACACTAAGAGACAACAACCAGATGAGAACAATGAGGCGAACACTAGCCTACTGTGCATCCCTTCCTCTTGGAAATCAAAGCTGTGGCTGGAACCTTGGGCTTCAGCGCATGTTTTTGAAGAATTCAAGCTATAAGTGTTATGCAAGAATCGATTCTCTTACTCATGGGCCACCTTAGTCGGGGGGGCATGTACTCCCCCTGCGACCAGTCCTCCCCGCGGCTGATCTTGCAATGGCCAATTACTGCCACCAATCGCTGCAGCCACTTCTGAGTGGCTGTAGTGATCAGACAACGCTTGGCAAGGGGGACACTGGCGCTCCCACCTGCCCATCACTTAAGCGGTGGGTGAGGCCAGTCAGGGGGTGCACCAGCGCTCTCAGGGGGT